ACCCTAACACCAAATGATTGTTATCGTGTAAGTGTTCTTCTCTTTACTGAGGTCTCCCTTTGGCTTTTTGTTTATTTGTTTATTTATTTATTTATTTATTCATTTACTTACCTATTTGTTTGTTTGTTTGTTTGTTTTTAATTGTTATTTGTTTGTTTCTTTCAAAGGAATTTGATAGTGCCTGTTCCAACGTTGGAATGTCCTGTTCGCATCGTGTGAAGGGCGTTCCTTGAACCTACTGGCTATAAAGAGAATCAAAGACACTTTGAATTTCTCTTTGTACGAGGAAAAAAAATGTATCCACGAAAAATTAACAACACCTGTCCCCTTAAATAACCCTTTGTGAATAATCCCTTGGACTTTGGCATCCCGTCTGAAGGAGGACAAGGGAACAGCGAGCGATTTTACGAATATTTTTCTCCGGACAATGAATTTTCTAAAATTGGAATAGCGAGCAGCTCGTGAATAGGTGCACGACTGTTTTCTTTTTAGGGTAATCGATAGCGATTCTTCATATCTCTCTGCATTTAAGAGGCTTGAGACTGTCGTCATACGCCCATCCTTCATGGGATCAGCGTTTGAGGCCAATTTTCTGTTCACCGCTCCTTTTTTGCAACATGTGTCGGTCTTGTTAAATCTGCGTCACGATTTTGTTCACTTCGTTCACGGAAAAAAATGTTTGCTGAGCTAGTCATCTGTTGTTGGAAACGATTTACATCCCTTCGTGCAGCTTGTCCAAATATAATTTGATAAGAGTTTATGTCTCTTATTTGTTTGTTTGTTGTTGGTTTTTTTGGTGAATCCATCACTGTCAACTATGAAACCAACCTCTCCTCTGTGGGTAGTTGACGGGTTCTCTGGAGTGGTTTGCTCCTTCTTTCCTATCAACCATGTATCGTCCTGATCTCTCCTTCTTTTTATTTTTGCTACTCTCTTTTAACACTTCTAATCTTCGACACTTATATGACCTTATCGTGTTGCAAACAAACAAACCTCTCCTCTCCTTTAACTCGTTTATAGTTAATTGACAGTGACTGAAAAAAAATTAGTCAGAATGAAGGAAAACCGATACATCATCAAACAACCTTTACGGTCATTTAAAATCACCTTCAGTGGGTTGTCGCTCATTGTTATTGATATGTTTATTATATTAATATCTTGAAAAGGTCTCAACTGCCATAAGAAGTCGTATAGAGGAAACTGGTTGGTTTTGTTTTAAAGGGTTGTTCTTTTGTTTGTTTGTTTTGGGGTTTTTTTAAAAATCCAGAATCCGATTTTTACATGTTTTTGGTTACAGCAGCAAAACAAAGGAAATCTGTAACGTTATGGCAAACATTCCCACACTCGCAGACGATAATTTGATTATAATGCTGCTCACTAGTCTAATAATTTACACAGCCCACCAGGTCCAGGTTTGAAATGGTCGCTTTTGATGACAAGCGGGCTAACCCAGATTTCGGGAGTTTCCAGAAATCTTGACCTACACTAAAAGTGGGCATTGGCCTACCTATAGGAGACATTTGGTTTCATTGGTGTGTATATTTGTTCGGTTGCAGCGAAAACTCTCCTTATCTTTTAAAGAAACTGAACAAGGGGCAAAAACTTTACTTTCGATTTTCTCAAAACATCATTTTTCGGGATAGCCCCCTTGTGCTTAAAAGCGACCAAATATCCTGTTTGTGTCGTGTGTAGAGTTTTTAGTTTAAAAAAAAATATCGAGCAAATAAAGAAAAAAAGACACTGGATTTGTCAATGTAAGATTGACAAATTCTCTCCACGAAAGCGTGACCACATCCGTCCCCTGAAATAACCCTTATATAAAAATCCCTGTGGCTTTGACATAACGTTTTAACGCTCCCCACGCCCCACCCCTTATTTTTCCCGATACACACCCCTTTTTGTTCGTCAACGATAGTAAACTAGACTCTCTAATATAGCTATAGCGGTTAGGCGCTTCGACGTCGCTCTCAAAAGACCCTGATTCAAATCTCTTGTTGGGATATAA